TTTGTTCTATAAAACTTGGACTCAGTCAAAGGCCACACCCAAGGACCTACAAGGCCACGTGTGGTCTTGAGGCAGCAGGTTCCCCTCCCCTGATTTAGGCAGATGGGATAGGGATTACGGTCTCTATTTTAAAGTGGGAAAAAGTGAGCCCCAGAGCCATTAAGTAACTTCAGTAAGTGAGGTTATACAAGTTTTTGGTGGAAAGAGGACAAGCACCCAAGTCCCTGGGGCCCCAGCTGAGTGAGGGGCCCTCTTGTGTCTGCTCGTGGGGAAGGCCTCCCATGGGGCTGAAGAGGAAAGGTCAGGGGCCCCAGGGCAGCTGGCTGGGTTCACAGATGGGAGGGGGTGGGGAGGAGGACAAAGGGCTGAAAGCTGAGCTGGGCTGGGGGCGGGGAGGCTCCCTAGGTCGTGACACTGGCATCCTTCTGCCTTTTAGGAAGAGATGCGCTTCTTCTCCTCCCTCTGGAGCTAATTTGAGCTTCCTGGCTCCTGGAAACCACCCTCCTGCTGGCGGCTGTCCTGAGCCATCAGCCCCGGGCCTGAGGTTTTCACATGGCCCTGCTCTTCACTGTCTTCCTGGGTGCTTCAGTGCTCCCCCGGGGGAGAGTGTGGAAGGATTGCCCACCTTGTGCCTAGGACCGGGGCAGAAACCACCGCCACCACCTCCTCTGCAGCTTTTAGCGGGCGAAGGGGAACAGAAACGCAAAAGAGGGGAAACATAGGAAGAGGGCATTGGGGATTTTGTTTTTTTCATTTGTGCATTTCTGGGAGAGATCCCTTATGGGGCTGCAGAGACAGTCCTGAGGGGGATACAGACAGTCTGACCTTTGGCCCACTAGGCTAGGTCTTCTAGCTCAAGGGATGTGTCGACGGGGCTAGAGGGCCAGCCCCCTATGAGCCACACACCCCTCTGTGATTAGGGTCGTGAGCTTAGCCCTGGGAGAGCTGAGGCAGCAGGATGCGGTCAGCCCAGAGGGGCAGCTCTCTGTGGTTCTCCTGGAGGGACAGCAGAAAGGTTGTGGTGGGCAGAGGCTGGAGGCAGCCAGGCCTGGGGCTCCAAAAAAATCCTGCTCTTCTCAAAGCGGCAGAATGGAGTTACAGTGGCTCTGTGCCCTCCAGAGACCCAGCTGTTAAAGGGGCTGGCTGGAGCCTGGGGGCCTGGGCCAGAGCCAGGGGATTAAACCTAAGCCTAGGGATAGAAGCTGGCAAGGGACACCAAGGACTCACTGTCTCCTCCTTGGGCTGCCCTGCTTCTCCTAGGCTTTCCAGCCCCCTTTGTCCCTGACACGCAGCACTACAGCTCCATTGTGTGACCGCACAGTAGCAGAAGTAGAACTCAGACCCAGGCCCTTGGCCCATTCCATTCCAGTACAATCTCCCCCGCTGGAGCAGGAGGGTCCGACAGCTGTCGCCTGACCCTGATTTACACCTTAGCAGACTATAGAAATCACCAAGACACCAGGTTGCTGAAGGCCAACCTAGTGTTTTCATATGCTGCAATTCAATTCATGCAGCAGGTATTTATTGAATACCTACTATGTGTGTTTGAGGCAGCGTGACATCCTGGATGGAGCATGGCTCTGGACTGTTCAAAGCCTGCCTCTTGCCTATTGGCTGCATGATCCCAAATAAATCACTTTAATTTCTCACTGCTTTAGGACCACCTCTTAGACCATGATTTTCAGAGAGGGTGCCAACCTGCATTGGTGGAGGGAGCTTCCACATTTTGGAATTCCCTACATTGATGAAATCACAGGGCCACTTCCTGTCCCTAGGCTTACTATGGTGTAGACACTTGGGGACATTAATGGAATAACACGGAAGGCCTTGCAACTGGGTCTAGGGCCTTGGGGGAGCTTTGGGCTTTTTAAGGGTGGCGGTAGCAGGGTGCCTGCCTTGTGGCTCAGACTTGCAGGAACCTTGTGTCTCTGCCTTGCCTGCTTAGGCAGAGGATGGATCAATCCCACAAACGAGGTGGGGTTCCCCTACAAAATCTTGTGTCCAAGAGGAAGGGGGAAGCTCACTATGGCTTGGCAGCATGGCACTGGGAAGGCATGGCTGGGCTCTTCCATGTTCCTGACTCAATCTTGAAGGCTTTGTCCTTTTCCCTGAGGTTCTGAGAGGCTTGGGCTCACCCCAGGTCACCTGTGATTCTGTAGAGAACCTCAGGGTCCTAGGTGAAATCACTACCCTGGAAAAGCTGTGGTTCAGAGGGCCCTGACCCATCCTTGTCTACAGGAGGGAGCAGATGATCTGTCCACAGTGGGACACACCTGGGCTTTGACCTCCCAGCTAGGCCAGAAGCTTTCCAACCTTCCATGACGGGGCAGTCTCTCATGGGCTAAAAGGAGCTGGCTGAGAACATGCAGGAAATCAACTGTGGGTGACAGACTCACCCTGGCTGGCTCCAGCCAGGATCCCTTGGGTATGAGCCCTAGTCCCAGAGTTGGCACTGTGGCCAAGTCTAGGGAAGGGAAGAGGCCTGGGGCTGGGCAACCGGGGCACTCACGAAGACAATGTGTACCATTTGTACCCCAGCCCGGGGAGGGAGCAAAGTGGCAAGGGGGGGTGGGCAGGTCCTGTGCTTGGGGACCATTCCAGGAAGGAGGAGATGGGGGCACACTGTGGCTGGGCAGCATAGGGCTAGCAAGAGGGGCTGCCAAGGCACCGAGAGGCCAAGCTCCCTAGGGTTTCCGCCTCAACTGGCCCCAGCTGCTGTAGTGCTCTAAGGCAGACGCATCGCAAAGAGCCAGCTGTCCCACTTCACTCCAGAGCCAGCTGCTTTGGGCTGGGTGGGGGCAAGAAAGACATTCTTTCACCATTGTGTGTGTGTGTGTGTGTGTGTGTGTGTGTGTGTGTACACACACACACACACACACAAAGGATATCAGCAGAAGAAATATTAGGGACCTCTTCAGACAGAAGTCTCAGGACCCAGAAAAGGTGGTTCCGAAGGTCACCCCAGTTCTGACCGTCTATGTTCTAAAGTCCCTTCCAGCTGTGACATTCCACTCCCTGATCTAACACTTGATGTTCTAAGGTCTTGGAAGGTCCCTTCCAGCTCTCTGATTCCTAAAGTGCATTTTGGGGAAAGGACACCCTTGATGGAATGATCATGCTTTCTAGAACATGAGTTATTAGAAGACGAGGTACTGTGTGGACCACCATTGAAGGGGGGCACTTTAAATGCCATGGCAGAAGGTCAGTAGCTGGCATCCTGGGTCACTGGGTGACAGGAAGTAGAACTCCAGTAAAGGAAGAAAACAAGCACCTACTGTGTGTCAGGCACTGTACTGGGCTTTGCAAATATGATCTCGTCTGATCTTCACCACAACCCTGGTTGGTAAGTGCTAGGTGACACAGTGGATAGAGCACTGGGCTAGGAATCAGGAAGACTCATCTCGGTGAGTTCAAATTTGGCCTCAGACACTAGCTGGACAAGTCATTTAAGCTTTTTTGCCTCAGTTTCCTCATCTGTAAAATGAGCTGGAGAAGGAAATGGCAAACCACTCCAGTATCTTTGCCAAGAAAACCCTAAATGGGGTCACAAAGAGTCAGACACAAATGAACAACAACAAATAATCATCCCAGTTTACAGCTGAGGAAACTGAGGCAGAAGCTTATGTAGGATAACACAGCTAGGATATGCTTGAGGTTGGTCTTTCTAACCCCAGACCCAGCTCCTAACTAGCCACCTCTAGGCAACTTGGCTTTCCAGCTCCTTTGAAATCCCCAACTATTTGTAGAATTGGGGAAACCTAGGTAAATTAGGCTGGCTAAGGCTGGGCCTTGACCCCTAGGAGTATGGGTATAGTTGGGAGGCCTTAGTAAAGGTTCTTAACCCAGGGTTCACTGACTCAGATTTCAGGGGGGTCAGTGAACTGGAATGGGAAGAAATTATATCTTTATTTTCACTAATCTTTGCTTTCTTTTGTTATCTTCTGTATTTTATCTTCTGCATTCGGAAACATGATTCTGAGAAGGGGTCCACAGTCTTCCCCAGGCTGTCAAAGGGCCCTAGGACACACAAAAAGGTTAAGAACCCTAGCCTAGAAGGCCCCTCTTGTAATTTCATAGGATCAAAGATTTAAGGCTTAAAGGGACCTTAGAGATAAAATCTTTGTGTAACATGTATATCTCTTGAGAGAGGGAGAAGAGAGGGGGAGAGAGGGTGAGCTGGAGGGAAGCCAATCCCTCCAAACCTGTCACTTTACAGATGAGGAAACTGAGACCCAGAGAGGTAGAATAACTTGTCCAAGATGACTCAGGTTTCAGAACTCGAATTCCCACCCAGATCCTGACCCCAAATCTGGCCCTCTTTTCATTATATCTTTCTCAGGGAGTGAGGATCTGTCTCCACACAATGTTAAATGCTTAATTAAAGCTCGTTCCCTCATTCACCCTGATCTTTCTCTTCTATCCCCCAAAACACAAACAAGAAAGCTTCAACATACACATTCACAAATATGTTCATACAATATACATATCAGAAACACACACACAGGTGGCCTCCTAGCCTAGCATGAAGTTGGAGGGAATCTTAGAACATAGGATATTAGACCCTAGAACACAGGGAGTTGGAGGCAGGAGACCCCTTCAAATAGAGACTGAATCAGAGCAGTGCACAGAACGTTGGACCCCTCTCTCCAGAGTCCCCCCAGGTGATCAGAGGCCTCCCCACTCTGCCCCTACGCCCAGTGGCCCAGCTCCCTTTCACTCAGGCTTCCTTTCCAACTTTGGTGGGGGAGTCTCCTCCCCATTCAGGGGCTCCCCTCCCAAGTAAGGTTTCCCTTCCTCCCCCCACCATGGGCTGGGTCTGACTCTCCTGCAACAGGAGGAAAAGAGGAGGAGGTGCCCTAGCACCCCCAGGCAGCCCCCAGCCCCACCTGGCTCCTTGTCCTCTCCACCCTTCCTCATCCCTCCCTGCCCCCAGTGGCCGAGGGCTCGCTCCCGGAGCCCCGAGAGCCTGGCAAAGTTGCAGTAGACTGAGCATCTCTTACCTGGGTCAGGAGGCAGAGGGAGAAAATCAGGGCTGTGGCCATCCCAGCGCGATCCTGAAGTGGGCCAAAGGCCAGGAGGGGTGCCGCTGAGGTTCGTGAGTGGGAGCTCGCAAGCTCGGGGCCAGAGTGTCCGGGTCTCTCTCTGGGTGAGCGCCTGAGCTCCGAGCTAAAATAAGCCGGTGGCCTGGCTGAGTGACAGCACATGTGCTGTGCGGGCTGGGGCGGGCTGGCGCTGGGGAAGGGGGACGGGGCAGACGGGCGGCTGCGTTACTAACGCGCGGAGGGGGGAGAGTGGGAGCGCAGCTGTCCCCATTACACAGCTCTGGGCCGGGGCTGCCCAAGGTCAGGTGGCACCCCCTCCCCCATGGGGGAGGGGAAGCTTAACCCTTTATCAGCAGCATGCTAGGAGCTGGACAAATGTCTGAGGGGGCTCAGGGCTTCTGGAGGGGGGTCTGTGGGGGTACACGTGAGGAGGGGGAGCTCAAGAACCTTCAGGGAAATACAGCAAAGGGAGGGATTCCAAAGGAAATGGGGAGAGAAGGAAGGGGATTGGGATGGCCCAATGGTGAGCACTGGAAGCGGGAATGGACTGGGCAGAGGTAGGTCTCATGGCCTTTTGGGGATTACCCAAGAAAGGAGTCTTACCCCAGAAATGCCTGAGTTTCATGGCTCATGGTTTATGGGAACAAGGATAGGACACAGGGCTTGAGCCCAGACACAAGACTTCTGGCCCAGGTGGAGGCTGGAGGGGGTGCCTGCACAAATCCCTCCCTTATCCAGTCTCAGAATCACAGACTGTGTGAGTTGGAAGTTACCGCATCCAGCTTCCTCCTTTTACAGCTGAGAACTCACAAAACCTCAATGTTGGGAGAGATCTCAGAGGTCAGCTGGCCCAACCCGGGCCTTCTCCAATCTTCCTGACAAGGGACCTAATGTCCTACCTCATGGAGCAGCCATGGGACTTCTGCATAGCTCGAATTATTAGGAAGTTTTTCCTGATACCAAATCCCAAACTGCCTCTCTATAGCTTCCCCTCTGAACAAGTCCGCTCACAAAATCTTGGAGTTGGACCTCAAAGGCCTTCTCATCCCAACCCATCCCTGAACAAGAATCCACCCCAGGACAGGTGGAGATCTCTTTGTTGAGGAGGAATCCACTGTCTCCTGAGGCGACCCATCCTTTTTTTGCTGTGTCTCTCATTGGCTGAGGAGGATTCCTTTTTTTTTTTTTTTTAGGATAGATAGGTAGCTAGGTTAGGAAGATGAGTTCAAATCTGGCTTCAGACACAGACTCGCTGTGTGACTCTGGGCAAGTCCCTTAACACTGCCTCAGTTTCCTCAACTGTAAAATGCGATGGAGAAGGAAATGGCAAGCCACTCCAATGTCTTTGCCAAGAAAATCCCAAATGGGGTCACAAAGAGTTGGACGTGACTGAACAACACCAAAAACTAGGATAGATGGTAGTATCTACAGTAGGCACAGGTGAAACTACTCCTCACCCATACAGTTAATGGTTCCATGTCAATGTGGCAGGAGGTCAGCAGTGAAATATCTTAGGAATGTGCAGTTGCCCCGTGCCGTTCTACATTTGATTAGAGGCATAGATGGCATGTTTGTCTGATTTTAGATGACCCAGTGCTGGGAGGGAGAGCCAACCCTCTGAGTGATGGAGTTAGCATCCAGAAATTTCTTAACGGGCTAGAAGATTGGGCTGAACCTCATAAGAAGGAATTTAAGAGGGATAAATGTAAAGCAACACAAAGGTGCAAAAAATCAACTTCACAAGTATAAACTGGGGGAGATATGATGAAACAGCAATTTTTCTGAAAAAGATTCAAATGTTTTTGTGGACCACAAACTCAATTTAGTCAACAATATGAGGTGGCAGCCAAGAAAGCTGAAGAAATCTTAGTGTAAATAAGAAAAGTTGTCTAATAATGAAAGTTCTCCAGAGGTGGGATAGGCTGCTTTGGGAGGTGGTGGGTCCCCCTGCCCCCGAGATCTTCAAATTGAGCCTAGATGACCACTTCTTAGGTATATTACAAAAAGGATTCCTGTTCAAGTCTCCAGACTCCATACCTTTGCACTGGCTATACCCTATACCTGGAATGCTCTACCAGGTAGAGCTTGGAGTCTACCTTAACACCTCTGCCTCTCAGCTTCCCTGGCTTCCTTCAAAGGAAGGCTAAAATTCCACTTCTGTAGGAAGCCTTTCCCAATCTTGCTTAATTCTAGTGCCCTCCCTCTGTTGATTATCTCCAATTTATCCTGTCTATTTGTTTGCATGTTATCTCCCCCTTTAGACAGTGAGCTTCTGGAAAGAAAGGACTGGTTTTTGCCTGTTTTGTTTTGTTTTGTTTTTTCTTGTATCTCCAAGCACCTAGCAAAGTGCCTTGCATATAAATGCAGCTTACTTACTTGCAGTAAATGCAGCTGAAATAAAGGGCAGCTAGGTGGCGCAGTGGATAGAATGCTGGGCCTGGAGTCAGGAAGAACTGAGTTCAAATCCAGCCTCAGACACTTACTAGTTGTGTCACCCTGGGCAAGTCACTTAACCCTGTTTGCCTCAGTTTCCTCATCTGAAAAATGAACTGGAGAAGGAAACGTCAAACCAATGTTTCCAGTATCTTTGCCATGAAGGGTTGGATATCACTGAAATGACTGAACGAACAACAATAAATGCTGGTTGACTTGACCTGACTTCAAGCACAGGTTAGGTTCCCTGGACTTGGAGGTCCAGTCCTGTGTTTCTGTAAAATTCGCTTCTGCAAATTCCATTCACCACTCCCAGTTCTGCCCTCTGGGGCCATGCGGATCAAACCTATGACCTCTTCCATGTGGTGAAATGACTGAAGACAGTTAACATGCCTCTCTTCAGCATCTTCTTCCCCAACTGGGTTAAAGGTCATCTGTTCCTTTAGTGAGTTTGCATAACGGCACGATTATGAGGCTTTTCACCATCCTGATCACCCTTCTCTGAATGCTCCCAGCTTATCTGCATCCTTCCTAAAATTTGGTACCTAGAACCCGACACCATATTACATGTGGTCTGACTAGAGAAGACTACAGTAATGCCAGCCTCTGCCTAGCCCTGGATAATGGGCATTTCGTAATGTAGCCTAGGGTGACTCCAGCTGCCTGGGTTGCTGCATCAGACTAGTGAGTGACTCTGATTTAACTAGGGGTCAACTAAACCCCCCAGATCTTTTTAAGATAAATGATTTGCCAGTCTTGGACTCATGAAATGGATTTTTTGGTCCCAAGTATAAGACTTTACATTTATACCTATTAAGTTCATTCTTTTTCTATATGACAGTCCTCCAATTACTTAAGGACTGTCATTTTGTCTTAGAAAATTGAGGGACCAGTCAGTCAACTAGCATTTATTAAGCAACTACTATGCGCCAGGTACTGTTCTAAGTACTGGGATACAAAGAAAGGCAAAAGGTAGGGCAATGAGTTGCTAAAGGTACACCAAGCATACTATGGCCATTCTTGCCTCACTGCCCTCCCCCCTCTTGGGATATTCCTTTCCATTTCTCCAAATCCTACCTATGCTTCAAGGTTCATCTCTAGACCCACTTCCCCCACAGAGCCTTATCCAACTATTCCAGCCTTCATTCACCTCTAATTCCTCTAACCTTCCAATCAATCAATAAACATTTATTGGGATGCATGGTTCAGGGAAGACTCAGACCTCTGTCATGAGGGCTACTGAGCTCTTTCCAGGGTGATTTTCCACCTTTGGTGTCCACCTGTCACCCAGCTCTCACCTGTGGCTCCAAGAAACTGTGGCGTGCTCAGTGACCGAACCCCAGGAAAACTGTCCTGGCAGATGGGTTAAACCAGGTGAAGGGTAACCGACAGGCCTCAAACCTGTCAGTGAGTTAGTTAGGGGGCTCCCTACCCCAAGCATGTGAAGGCTTTGCCCGGATGAATGGGTGGATGAGAACAATTTGTTCCAACGGCCATGAAGACAGCTGAAGCAGGAGTTGTGAAATGCTGAGAGCTTGGTTAGACGTGGAAGATGTCCTCCACTACATCCCAGGCCATCACCAGTCATCCTGACTTTTGTCTTGCCACTGGACTCTGATGACTCTGGAAGGGAGAGTGAGGCTGCCAACTTCACGCAGCTCTGCCTCACTTAAATCCAATTTATGTGTGAGTCAAAAGACACCCCTCATAACCATTTTTAACATTTTTATCTACCTGAAAGTCCTGTGGCAATGGAGAAGTGATAAAGCAGCAGATGTAGTTATTCTGGGAACTATAGTCACAACCAAGCACATAGGTGGTCCAGGGTTGTCTTCTCACTGGACTGAAGCAGCAGTGAGATTCAGTAGCCCTCTGGGATGAGCAGCCTTTTTAAAGGACCACACTGCTCATTTCCTGGTGTGAGGAATGGGTTAGAAAAGGTACCCTAAAATCTTTCTGCTTCACTCAACCTAACCCTGGTCTGCTTACTATGGCAGGCAGAAATCCTACTTTGTGGTCAAAACACAAAAAAAATTTACAAAAACTTTTGCAAAGATGATTCCACATGATTGGTACATGGAACATGTGCATGCTTATGGACAACATGAAATCCAGTAGACCTGAAAGATGAACAGTTCTTGTTGTGAGAGAACTCAGCAGGTATCACATCCAAATAGCAGCCCTGAGTGATGAGGCTGACAAATGAAGGCCAGTTTACCAAAATTGGAGCTGGATACATGTTTTTCTGGAGTGGTGGCAGTGATGGGGAGTGCTGTGAAGTGGGCATAGGTCTCTCAATCAAAACTAATCTGGTCAACAAGCTTGTATGCCTACCAAAAGGAGTGAACAACAGGGTCATGACAATTCAATTGTTCCTTGCAGGAAAGCACCATGTCGCCGTCATCAGTGCATGTGCTCCCACCATAATGAACCCTGTTGAGGGGTTAAATGCCAGCAAACATTGGCATTTAATAGACCATGTCGTTGTAAAGAGAAGAGAAAGGCAGAATGTATGGTAATGTGTGGTGCAGAGTGCTGCACTGATCATAGACTTATCCTCTCCAAGCCAAACATTCATATTCAACAAAAGCATCA